GCGGGCTCCTGAACGGGACAGGCAGCGCTTTTCTCAAAATGGGGGTGAGTAACAAGGGCACAGGAATAATCTGAACATCCATGCTGCAGTCACTGAAAGCTACGCCAGGTCTCTTCATACTGGCATCAGAGTTTTGACATGGCTGTCGTCATTAGTGATTTTGAACTGTTTACATTGTCATTTTAGCGTGTTTTTTTCTAAGTTCAGAGCATTTGATAATGCATTTTGATGCTTATTTTCTATTGATAAAAGCTGTGCACAGACAAAATCCCATAGTTTGAATTCTGTTGCAAGTTACGTGTTTTGAATCCATTACTCTTCTGGCTTAGATCTGTCCAGCCCAAGAATAAATAGCTCACTTTGGCTATATATTCCTACCAGAAGAGGAAAAGCTTTTGAAATCATGCCTGTTTGTTCCTCAGTCTGATAGTACTGTGTGGAGGAGCCAGCTTCTCCAGATCGACTAAGGTTTTTGAGCAGCTTTTTTTTTTTTCTCTAAGCTTGTTTAGCATAGTAGTCTGTGAGGACTGTGACTAGGTATGCAAGACACTGTTTTGCTGCAGGGTGAACCATCTGCATCTGAATGCCCCTTGTCCTGGTTAGTTATGGGCTGGATATCAGCACAAATAGCTCACCGGAAAAGTAACTATAAAATTAGATTTTTGCCTTTCTAGGACTATTACTTTAAAACATGTACCAAAAATATTGTCTTGACGCTGTTAAACAAGAACTGTTCAGAGCTTCGAATGTGTAGGTTATTATGATTGAGCTTATTGTGTATTTCATGTCCTGGAAGAATCATTTCTAAAACATATTGAGTAATATTTTTGACCTTTAAAGTGATGATATGAAAAAGATCAGTCAACTTTCCTGTTAATGAAGGTATGATGAGACCATCTGGACCTGAAGGGCCTGTTTGAAAGGTCATACAAGAGACCTATCAGGTAAAGATGTTTGGTTTGATGGGGGGTGGAGGAAGAGTTGTTAGTTTGGGTTGTTGGAGCTTTTTGTTCTAATCAAGTAGCCAAGTAAATAAAGAGCCAGCTTCAGCTCTTCATAGTCAGAATGCTGTGGTTGTGGTATCTGTAGCTGAGGTAAGAACAACAGCTTCAAGCCCTTATTGGCAAAGAGAAGGTAATAGTAAAACTGGTAGTTTATGAAGATTAGGTGTGTGGAAAGTGTACTGGATAGGTGAGACAGCAGCTGTGTATGCCCAGTGAAGGCAGAGAATCTATTCCATGTTTCCCGTGTGGCTGTACCTGACGTGCCGCATGGATGTCACCCAGAATACAGTTTCAATCCTTTGTGGATTTTTAAAAGGTGCTCATCTGCTGGCTGAGAGAAAGCTGTGGGCAGGGATGAGGAGACCAAAGTAATTCCCACCTACAGTGAGAAGTCCTGCTATGCTGCTCTGCACCTTCAGACTTTGAACGGGTGCATTTCCTTCACCGAGTAACATGGAAATTAGGGTCTGGGAGGAGAAGGGGGTGGAAGGGTTGAATGGTCCATAATCTTATAATTTATGACTGTTACTGTACATAGATTTGGAAATTCGAAGTCTGGCACTTACTAATTATGGTTAGAAGGTAGCGAATACTTTAAGTTGTGTGTATCAGTATCTTTGAATTGCTGCTGCATAATTTCCATTGTTTATTTTGTCCTGTAGCTTTTGGTAAATATTGTCTCCAGGCCTTTAAGGTTAAAAAGTTCAGTAGGACTTGATTTTTCAAAAAGGAAATTCTACTGCAGGAAATGATTGTCTATGGTAGAATGAAAAGTACAAGCGGAATAAAGACCTATCTATTTCACTGTATAAATCTGTTATTCTGTTGGTGTGATTTGGGCTCACTTTACCCTATTTTAACCTTTTTCAGAGAAATTGCAAATAAACCCTGACCCTTTTTGCATCTAGTGATGAAGCTGTACCTGTTTGGGATTAAAATCATTGTGTATCCTGATGTAGATGCCATTTAACTTGGGATTTGAAAATAGATTTCTGGTGATGTCCCATAGTTGTCAAAGAAGCTGTTGAATAATAAAAACACGTTTCTTATGCTTGTCTCCGGGACAGTGCTAGGACTAGTACAGGTGCTTGTGAAGGTTGCTTGATTAAGCTGGTCTTTAGCTGTTAATTTCTATTCAGCAGAAATGCCAGAGGTAAGGGGTGGGTAGCTTCTTTAGTCTGAATTCTGGTTGCTTGCATATTCTGCTCTTCTTGCCAGCAAAAGAATGTGAAAGCTTTGTGCTGTCAAGAGGTGATACTTGGAGAAGATGAACTTCTATGATGTTGTTTTTCTGTGGCCCAGTACTGACAATGCTGTGTGGCAGCCCCATGCTTATAATTCACTATAATACTTGTTTGAAGAGATAGTTCCTAGGCAGTTGTAAACTGAGCCTGACAGATGCCACTACCAAATTGCTATCTCTGACGTGAACAAATCTCTATCAAGTGAAGTATGCAGATAGTCTTCTATCTTCTGTTTTCTAGAAAATAGCAATGACTTGAAATATTTCTTTTATGCTGCAAGCTCTGGATGGCATTAGAATATCTTCAGATAAGGATTTATTGATTTGGGTATATTGTTGCAAAAATATTTACATAGATTTGGGTGTATTATTGAAAAAATATTTACATTATGGGGAAGGTGGTCGGCTGCACCACCTTACTTTGGCAAATCCTGGATATTGCCACAATTTCATTTTAAGCACTTTATCTCCGCACCACAGTAAGACAGATTTTACTAGTGGTCATAGAAAGTAAATGCAGGCATGGGTTTTTTGGGTTTTTGTTTTTAATTTACAGTGTTAAGCTTCTAAGGTAGCTCTTTTGATCAGTCTTGTGGTGTAGTGCAGTGGATAAATAGTTGTGATGCACAGGAAGTGTAGCGGTGCATTATACTGTAATAGTAGTGGTAATTAAAGCTAGTGTTGTTGCTGAAGTTAATGCTGCCATACCACAGCTGAGCTGTGAGAAATTCTTCAGTCCTGCCTCATGCTTCTAAGGATCATCTTGTGGTCCAGAGAATGGTTAAATGGCAGCTTTCTACTTGTACAAGGGAACTCATTTGCTCCTGCTCTAAGGAGAATAGGTGTTCAAAAGTAAAAGCTGTGACCTTGCAGAACACAAAATGAACACATCTGGCCCAATTATTGAAGAGCACAGATTACTTTCAACTTTCTTCGTCCCCTCCCTACTCTTTTTCTTTGCTGTAACTGGCTATTTTGATGATGTCTGTTTGTGACAGTAGTGCAGGAAAAAGTAAAGTGGTATTTTGGAAGGAAAAAAAGCCACAAAGAAACCATGAGATATGTGAATTTTCTTCTGTTAGAGTACCCTGGTACTCGTTAGTTGCAGTTAGATTTCTGATGGCTAAGATTTCTGTAAAGCATCCAGAATGCTGAATAGGTTTTCTGGTGCATATTGTTGTAGTATCTTCTGTGGTTTCTAAGTGAACAAGGTAGAGATACATTACAACAGGTTTCCAGTTTCTCTAAAGTGTCTTTGAATATCAATTTCCTGTACCATGGTAGTTTTCTTCTGAAATATAGAATATCATCTTGGTTAATCTGCTTGGTGACGTGGGAAAACACCAGATTTGTCATTAGTCTAAACAGGTCTCAACAAGAAAATTCAGCATTTTTTTCAGGACTTTTTTCTGTTTGGACAGTTCAGTAATGTAGAAAAAGTGCATTGAATATGAAATTTAAGTTAATGCGATATTTAAGTTGGCATAACGTTATGACCGACATGTTCAAGAGTAAACAAAAGTCTCGTGTAGCTGCAGGTTGATTGTTCCTTGTGTACTTTGTAAGGAGGCTCAATTGCTTCAAAAGCTAATTAGGAGTGGAATGACTGATAAAGTGAGTTGTAAATCTGTCTTTAGTCAAATCTGCCACTTTAATGCCCCTATACTTTCTTCAGACTGTTTGGAGTCTATGTCTTAGAGTAAAGAAATGCCATGATCTCTTGGAGATTATGTTGCTTTTCAGCTGCTGATATTACGTTCATTGTACTGCAGTATCCAGGAGTCAGAGGAAAATTTGGAGTCAGATATATTTGGGAAACCCTCATACAGCCCCTGCTTAGCTTTACAATACCAAGATACTTGAGGCAAGACCAAGTTTGCATGCAAAGAAATATTGAACTGGCATTAACAGATAGATACTCGTGGCTCATGTAAATCATCTTAAAGTGTTTTTTTGCTATCTTATAAAATGCAACAAGAAAAAGACCTGTTATTTTGAGTGTTTATAGCATATTTGTATTGGGAATTTTAGTCTTTTGTTAGTACTAAAAAAAATCACATTGGGCCTCTGGACAACTGAGTTGAGAAAAATGCTAAATGCAGAAATTGTTTCTGTTTATATAATACAACTTTGAGATACAAATATGACTTATTTCAAAGCAGTATCAAGGTCTTTCTTAGTAAAGAACATGCAAATCCTCTGCTTTTTCTGTTTTACCTCTTCACTTTCACAATGCCTGTTGTAGTAATTAAATATTACGATCAAATATTTATTAAATATTATGATCACTCTGTTTGGATCAAGCAGAGACTGCTAGTTTAGGAGTAGCATCTCAGCAGATTATTGTGATAGCCATCTGTATGTAGTGATGGTGCGTTGCCAAGTGTTCGAGTAGTGTTGCCAGAGTTGGGTTTAGAATTTGTTGGAACTACAAGTAGCAGAGATGTAAGCAGAAAAGCAGGATTTTGAAAATTTGTGTCTATTTCTGATTTTTGCCTTCCCTGCACTCTACCTTGTAACATCAAGTAATCTCACAGAGAGTGACAGGACAAGTTGGAATAGGGGTTTTGGAAACTTGGTTGAAAGCATGTAGATACTAAAGAACTTCCTCCATGTCATTAGAGGAAGAAATGTTGACCTACCAGGTAGAAAAATAGTGCAGGGACATGCCAATATAACATAAATATTTGTAGTTTTCTGTAGTGATGGTGAAACAGCTAGAAGCTTACTTCTCCAATCACAGGATAGCAATCCCCTCCCACTGTATACTCGAACTTCAAATTAGAACACAAGACCAGAATAATGAGTGAATTATTTTTTTTTTATTTTTAACTGTAGAGGAGACTTGTAATGGGTATTTCCTTCCTAAGTTGAAAATTTGTGCATGTTTTCGTAGTAGGTATAGATGTTTGTACTGTTTCACATAAGCTTTAATAGTAATCATGAGGGAGAACAGGATGAATTTCTTCTGGGTTTATATGTTTATTACTCATATGTCTTCCTGTTCCTTTAAAAGAAAAAGATGTGCTCAGGATTAACTGAAAACATCCTGTCTCTCATTTCTCCCTCCTGCTCTCAGAAAGCTACCAAGAAAACTGACAAACCCAGACCAGAGGAGAAGGATGACCTAGATGTAACAGAGATGAGTAATGAAGACCTCCAAGAACAACTTATGAAGTATGGAGTAAATCCTGGCCCGATTGTAGGTAGGTCAATTGAACTAGTAGATACTAATCTTGTAACTCAGTAAAACTGAGTTTTATTTCTCATAAAACCTCACTTGTGAAGTTTCCCTGATATAGTTACTTTTTAGTACCAGTACTGTTGCAATCCTACTTTTCACCTAGGATATTTTCATTGAACTGTTTACATTAAGAAGACTTGAAGCATTGTAGGTGGGCAAGTCTGCAGTTTGCTTCTTGTGTTCTAGGCCAGCAGGAGATATTCCAACTTGTGTTCTGAAGCTGTGTAGCTGTTAGTTAAAGTTCAGTACTGTTAGGTCTGTTAGTTAGGTCTTCAGATACAGAGGTTTAAATCTGGGCTCGCTTAAATAGGAAAGACATCTTACATAATAACCTAATAGTATTGAGAGCAGAATGAGAACAGGGAACTTCCCTTTCCCTAGAGCATTTCCTAATCACTGCATTGTGCAGTAATGTTTTCCTTTGCCAATGTTTTTTTCTAGCCTAGCATTCTGTCCTGTGTGCTGGCCTGTGGAGTAGTCCTGACCCCAGCCTAATCTCCTGCCTTGGGCACTCAGATATCTGTGATGTGGGATCAAAGCACCTTGCCTTTCAGATTGTGCACTATCCTAATGGCAAGGGAATTTGATTTTGCAACTCTTCAAAAAAGATTGTTGTCTGTAGTGTGCAGAGCCTTCTGTGGAATGTTCTTGAAATCCTAGGTGGATGGAAGTGTCAGTGACTAAGCCTGCAGTCCTGTGTATATTCAAAGCCTTATCTGTAATATTTTCAGTTAGCTGATTCTGCATGCCTTGCCATTCATCCTGTACCTCTTGGATAGTACTCAGGTATGGAAAACTCAAGAACCTATGTTGTCCACTGGAAAGGCATTTACATTTGGTCCAATTTATTGCCTTTAATTCTTACAGGGTATGGACTTTTTCTTTAGAGGCTGCCATTTCTTTTAAGTGGTGGTTTCCTCTTATCAGAAAACTTCAAAAGCTAGGATCTTTTTTTTTCTGCAGCTAACAGCTAAAGAAGCAGTCACCTCTACAGATTTTTGCCAACAAAGTCCAGATGTGGAAGTATGTGCTAGATTTAAAATGTTTTAAGCAGCTGTCCTCTTAGATCAAGCAAGCCAACTTGATGGCTATGTGGTATCAAGCAGAAAGGTCTGTTGTTGCTGCTTGCTTGCACCACCTCTGATGCTTAATGGGCTGAATTTGCCAACATGGCAAAGGCAGGGGCAGTAATTCCAGGGTAAGGGAGTTAGGAGAATAATAGTGCAGTCTGCATGGAAACTGTTGCCCTTGTGTTGCCTTTATCTCCAGTTTCATTTCCAGGCTGGGAAAATTTTAGTAAGGAGGTAATATAAAAGGGGATCTTTATTTGAAGGCCTCCAGGAGCAGTTGTGAAAAGGTGTCCACAAAAGCTCACCCCCACCCACAGGGGTGAGTACAATAGGTTTTAGGAAATTAGCATCATTGATTAAAAAGTACTGATTAGGAGGACAAGTGGTGATGCAATTCTCCCTGCCAGGTCAAGTCCCTGCTCTGGAGACCCCACTTCAGCACTAGTTGTAATTCAGCCAGGAGAATTCATCTTGATGAGTTGTTCTCAGCCTTGGTTCCCAGGAAGAACCAAGATAGTACAAATTGTACCTCCTGTGGCTTGGAGCTCTGGGATTTGTTTTGTCTTTCTGCTTAAGGAAAGGCCATGGAAAAGTACTGGGAAAGCAAATCACTAATACAATAGACTACAGAGCTACACATATATGTGTGAAGAATAGAGAGAACATATAAAAGAAAAAAAAAGCAATAAAATAAAATGGCATCACTTGTAATATCAAACTCACTAAATTTTTTTGGTGAGAGAATAGCAACTTGTATATTGCAGCATACAAAGCAAAATATCTAAGAAGCTGGTAAATTCCCTTTCCATAGATTTCCTTTCTATAACTTTCAGTGTATGAAGAAGTTTATCTAAGAATTCTCTTATACTGAAAAGTTAAAGCTTTAGAGCCAGTGTTGTGTGCCTTGGGGTGTGTGTGTATATATATAGAGAGAGACAGACTCTGGGTCATACAAACTGATTAAAAATAAACAACACATTATGTTCAGAAATTCCCAAAGAATATGTAACAGCCAAGTTCTATCAGTCAAGTCAGGAAAGATTAAAACTGTTTCTTTAGCATGTATCCTTCTTTGTTATAGCTACTACTAGGAAACTTTATGAATGATATTTGCAGTAGAGATAACCTAAAGAGGGTATGATCTTGTGTTGGCATCGGTGCTTGGCACCACTGGACAGTGGTCTCAAACTGACTGATGCCATCAGTTTATTATCCTGTAGTAAAAACTCTCTGCCTTCTCTCTGTGCACCCTCACAAGCAGCTCCATGCAGCACTGACTCCTCTCCTTCCCTCTTCCAGACCAGCTAACTCCTTCCTGTCCTTTACTTGGGTGCCTGACCCTTCCTCTTCTCACAGCAATGCCAGCAAAAGTCTCTTCTCTCCCTCCCTGTGCTCTCTGCTCCTAACTCTTTATATCTTTCTTTTTCACATGCATAACACCTACATTCCCTTTTCCTCTTTTGTGATTGGTCACATCAGCATTCCACGCTTCTTCTCCTTTAGTTCTATTCACCTGTCTTATACAGCTGCACCCCATTAGGAATGAGGCTCAGCTGCAGCCCCATTCCTGATCGTTCACAATCTATTCTCCTACAATCTTGCTGTTGGGTGAGGCTGTAAGATACTGTTGCAGGCCATGTCAGTCATGTGCTTGATCATGCAGTACCAGCACAGTGATCCAGGTGCCTGTTCTGGGAAAGGAAACCTTTTGCTACTGAACTATCTTTAATCCATTATCCCCAGACTGGAGCCTGTAAATCCAGTAGACAGAATCGCATATTGGGTGTTTCAATGTTCTTCGCACATCATACTTAAGTATCAGTCCAATTTTGTCTTATGGTGCTCACAATAGTTATTTACCATGGGATATTGAATGAATGTTTGTTTCTTAAACTTTTGTTTTCTGTTTACTATCTAACACTTATGATTCAACCCCTCTTATGCGCTGTTCCTTATGGACTTAGTTTGGGATAGGTTGATTGGTTGATCCTGGGTGTGTTTTTTGTGGTTTTAACATCAAGTTTGTATCAAGAAAGTGTAGTGGTGGGGGAAGTGGAACTGAAAACATACCATTGTGCAATTTACAAGAAACAAAAACAGCATAGGTTTTAAAGAATTACTTGAATGGATTGTTAGAAGATGCTTATTTAGCGTGGTGTGGTTTTGGGAGTGGGTTTTCTTACTGTTTTTGCAGGAATTTTCATGAACATAGGACAGAAAGGGTTGAAATGCACCTAGTAATTGCATATTTAGGCTTGTTTTTCAACTTTTATCTCTTGCATTTTTCAGGGGAAAGGATGTTAAAGATTGATTTTATTAATGTTTGTGACAGCCAAGAGCCAAGTCACAACTGACAGCTGACTTCTTATGATTTCATATGCTTCATATAATTACTGAACTGTTCACACCCTGGGGAAAAATCTCAAACCCAAATATTCCCCTTCTCCCCTACCAAACACAAGTTTCTTTTTATAAATAGGTCTTAAATGTGTCAGTGTAATGCTATTAGAATTTTGGAAAAGCAGTGGAAATAATGCATCTTCTTATTGGTGAGATGAGTGCTAACCACTCTCCCTTTCTACTGTGTCAAAAGTGGGGTTTTATATAAAAGGACACAAATTAGAGGAAACTAAGTAGCAACTTCAAACAACATTGACAAGCTTCAGTACCTTTACTGCAATAAATAGCAGAATGGTACTTCAGTTAAAAGAATTGCAATTTGATACCAATTTCTAAGTGGAACTGCTGGATTGGTCAAGGCTTATCCGAAATGTAGGAGTTTTAGCACAAAATGTAAACACGTGGGTCAGTGCTTCAAAATAATTTCAAGATTATTCTTCAAAAACCTTTGCTCTTATACATCAATAGAGAAATATACCTGTTTCACAGCTTTTTATGGAAATGGCATCTCATAAGAGTTATGTTGTCTCTTGAAATGAATTTTTATTAAAATACATTTGATTTCAACTAATACAACAGCCAGTAGTATTATAGAAACCAGTCTTATTAAAACTGTTTGCAGATCCGAAGACTGAGCTGAGGCTTGAGAAGAGAGAACCTCTGAAAGCCAGGACGAAGACAACAGTAGCACTCAAACAAAAAAGAGTTGTTGAACACAACCAGGTATGTTTATCATAGTGGCATGGGGAACAACTACTAACTGCAGGTGATGTGCTCACTAAACACCTTGCTTCTTATAACATCACATGACTAAGTGAGCTATGCTGTTTTTTAAAGTTCTTTTAGAAAGCCTGTTCTAATACAGCATGAAAAATCTTGTGAATTAACTATAGTGGCTGTTTTTAGCATGTCTGATAATGTTCAAAGTTATGATCTGCTGTTTGTCTGATTTGCCAGCTGCTGTAGCACCTCCTAGAGAAGAGCAGGCAACGTTAACATGTTTAGTTTTGGAAGTCTGACAGATTTTTAATTCATATGGGCTGATGGCTTTCTGTTGGATGCTTGTATCAACTCGATTCTATAAAAGTAGTGGTTTCTCAAAAAAAAGTTTGGAAAAAGGGATGTGTGGGATTTTTTGTTTTTTTTAAGAAGTGTTTTTAAATACATATATATGTGGTTAGCTAGCTATAGACATAGGTATGCATTTTAAATGCATCTGTTTAATGACTTATTTAAATATAATATGTATTTGGGTATATGCCTATATGTATAGGTGTGTGTATATGTGTACATGAATACATTTGCTCTCTATGTAATATTTTTTCTTCAACTACGTTTGTAGCAGCAGTATTAGAGTAGACATGAATTTTTTGAAAAACTTCTCCATATGAAGAAAAAGGATAAATAACTTAATAAATAAAAGATAAATAACTTAAATAAAGGATAAAGTGTAGATCTCTCTGCGTGTACCACCTGTCCTTTACTTATAAATATTAGTTCCGCTGTCTTAATGCAAGAGAGATTTTACAGAAGCACCTCTGATTTTCAAGCTGCTGAATATAGGGCTCGGTAGTTGATGGCTGATCTGTTATTCTGATGTGAAAGCATCATTAAATACCCTGTTCCTCAGCTTAGGATATTTAGAGTCTTTACAGTGCTCATCTGACCAGTAAGTAGTGGAATTATGCTACAGTAAAGGACTTGTAATGAAACACTCAGTGACTCAGAATCTAACTTGTTAATTGCTTGGTGTATTTTTGCAGATCACAGCGATTTTTCTCAGTACTTTGTTAAATGCCAGATGCTTGCTACATAGTGTGTGTATGTGTATGTATAAACATGCTTTAGCTACAGACAGCTCTTAAAGCAGATTAAATGCTGCTATGACTTTGAGTAGTACAACACAGTTATGGAGATCTATAACTAGTTTGCTTATTTTAAGTTGGATTCTTAGGGTACAAGCTGAACAGATTTTACTTCAAAAAACGAAATGCACACATAGCCCAATGCACCAAGTATTCTTTAATTTGTTTGGGGAACTTCTGCTTGTAATGGTCTTTATAATGAGCATGTTAAGAATTACTTTTTTTGAAATGGTTATTCTGCTAGAAATCCCTGCCAGCTTCAGTATAATAAAGATATTTAATTCTTCTGTCAACAAACAAAACTTACAGTCTTCAGGAACTCACAGAATAAGAGATTTAGTGAGGTATTTTTGTGGCATTTTAAGTGATTTGTTTACTCAATTTTTTGTCATCCAGTTTCACTATATTAGTATCAGGTCATTATTGTTTTGCCTTGCAGTCTTACATGTGCAGTACAGATGCAGTATTTTGCAACTTGCATATTTTAATTACCAGGAGTTAATCAAAGGAATAATCAAAAAATTACCTCATTTCAAAATCACCGAATTCTTCAGAAACTCTCTTCAGTTTGTTAAACCTTTCACCTTTGAACATCGGATTGTTTCTTGAGTTTTTTTGGGTTTTTTTAAATATAGCAAACAGACAAAACCATATAAAAAACCCAAAACAAACAGCCCCACCCACCCCCCAGGAAAATATTGCAGTTGCTTGAGGCCAAGAACAACTTCATGCTTTTGGCTAGCAAATGTGTGTAGTCATGTCTTTTTACTGAGAACAAAACCAGAACATGGAGAAGATTTTTTTCTTTCCTCCCTTTCTTCCTGTAGAATTGCATTGTAGGTTTTCAGCTAATGTGTCAAGGGACTATGCTCATTCTGCAGAACTATTTCGACTGTGGAATGTGTGGCATTGATTCAGAGTGTGTGGCTGAAGCATGGTGAGGCTGAGCTGATGGGCAGTGTGGTGTGAAGCAGACTTGCTAGTTACTTCTGGGTCCTGTGTAGCACTGGATTTAGACCAGATGTATAGCTGACCAGACTGTCATTTGACATGGCTGGATGTAGCTGCTCTCTTAAGAAGAGAAAGCAAATAGATCAACAGTTATTAGGCAGACTGCTGCAAAAGAAATTGGGTGGGGAGGTTGAGCAGGCATATGGGTCTTACCAGTCAGTTAGTGGTGGAGCGCTGGATGAATTTGAGCTCAGCTACTTGTGTTTAATTACCTCCTCATAGTGAAAAGTTGGCAGAAAACCCTAATTTAAATACCCCCTTCTAATCCAGTAGGTGAATCTAGAGTAGGAGTTCAAAACTCAACCTGACAGTAAATGGCATTGGACAGAAGGAGGCAGGCTAAACAATGTAAATGTTAAGGAACAGTATAGAACTAGTCTCTTCCCTGAAACTTTGTACAGTGACATTCTGCCTGTGCTGTGTTCCCCTGCTCCTCCCTGTATTTTTTTTTGACTACCTGTATAGTAACCTGGTAAGTGGTAGCTGAGGTAAAGTCATAATCTATAGCTCCACTGCTCATGAGATATTTGACAGTTAGAAGCACATGCTGAACACTGCTTGTGTACCACACTGTTGTGGTTTCTCTGGTTACCTACAGGGTGTTGGTGTACCTAACATGGGTGTTACATTTTGATAGAGTTAGAGGCCTGCTCCATTGACAGTGAGGGTAATTATAACTGTAGACAATATTTTTTATTTCTTCTTTTCTGTCTGTTGAATGTGTTCTACTGAAGTCTGGATGGGTTTTATGCAGTAGATTCTGATTTTTCCTTGACTTTTCATGCAAGAAAAAAATTGAAACTTGCTGCTTAAAACATATGATTGGAGCATCCGAAGAAGAGAGGCAGTTATTAGTGAAATGCTTCTAACTTTTCATTAGAAGATAAGAAATTTGTAGTCAAATAGTCGGGGATGGGGAGCTCTTTGTTACTAGTATGAGTGAATTCACTCTCCTGCTTTCCTGAGTGGATTGTACCGGAGTAAAAACACTCTGAAATTAGTATTTTTTCTCTAAGCTTCTAAAGAACACCTCTTAAATAGAAAGTGTATGAGGTTGAGGTGGGGAACTGTGATTGTAGGTTGCAGGAAGGAAGAGAATGCAGTGTCTGGTAAATATTTAAGAAGGGGTTAGAAGATATTTCCTCTGTTAAATTTGTAAAGAACTTTGGAGAATTGGGCTGAAATCTACAATTCTAAAAAACCCACGAACTTGAATCTGTTTGGACCTGAGGTCTGTGCATTTGTTTTATAAAATACTTCAGTGACTTTGGAATGAAGTGAGGCACTTGTGCTCCCTCTGCTGGGCATTTAGTAGCTGTTATACAGAATTTATCATGGAACCATAAAGCTGATCAGCTTCTAGTTTCACTGTCCCCTCAAGTAATAAATACTTTTCAGCCTGTTCTCTTAACACATTGTTTTGGGGCTAATACTGTTCTAGTGAAGTATTGAACCTGTAATTGACAGTTGCAGTGTGTAACTTTATTTAGCAATGAGTGTAACTTCCAAAAATTTGATAATACATCACTGTATGAGGTGTTAACGTGCAAAGATAGAAGTATTTAAAAAGTAATAATTTTCATTTTTAAACTTAACCAAATATAAAAGAAAATCTTGTATATAATCTAGAATAAGCAGCTTCACATCTCCCTTTCCATCTTGGAATTAGTTTTGAGAGGGGTATTTGCTTCGAGCATGAAATTTGCAGTAAAGCATAGGGAACGATCTGCATTTGTTAATGGCTATAACAGTTGGGTGCTTCATGCTGTTACTTTGATTTGTGAGAGATCTGTATCAGGCTTGATTGTTTAAACCTGTTATGTGATAATTGTTAGTTTCATCCCTGTATGTGGAAATTTCTAAGATCATTTAGTGTCTCTCCCTGACCCCTGTGGCTGAAGATTAGTTCCTGTTGAAACTTAGGTGGCTGTCCATAAACTGTGCCCAACTCTGCTTGAGAGAATCTATCAGTGTAGAGAACAAGGTGATGCTTTCTTCTTATGTTCATAGATTGGTGTGTGTGTAGGCAGGAAATGTAATGGGCCTGAAAGCGTCATGTCTGCTGTCCATGACTTGATGTAACTCCTTGTAGTGTTAGCTCATTCCAGGGCAGTGAGCAAATTAGCATGGGCATTATCTATTCAGTTCTGTATTTGAACAATGTGCTGAAATGTAAATATTATGGTAAATGCTACTAATCTAGCTAGCTATTCATTATTGAATGTAGTGGGATCCACAGTTCTTTGATTGTAGACATGTTGCTTTTGGAGTGTGCATGCTATTTTGGCTTTTGGTTGAGAGTATCCAATGTTTGGAGCTGGTTTTCATGTATATGATCATGTGTTTGATGCTTGAATAGACCTATTCTCAAGATGAAGTTTCTGAGACTGTCTGGACAAGTGGATCTTCAAAAAGTGGACCTCTGCAGGCATTTTCTAGGGAGTCTACAAGAGTGTCAAGAAGAACACCAAGAAAAAGGGTGATGAGAGGCTTTTATAATAGACAAGTTGTTTTTTTTTTCTCTCACTCTTAGGGTCCCAGTGGCTCTTTTATTCAATTGTTGTCTTTTGTTTGTTTTAAACAAACAGGTGGAAGCTACAGCACAGTTGCCTGTAGATGATGCTGTAATATCAGAGAGTACTCCCATAAATGAAACTATATTGGCTGCAAGCAACGAGACCCTAGTAAATATGCTTAGTAAATATGTTTAATCAATGGTGATATTCTTCTGTAACTTATCTTCACTGACAGAATCATTCTGTTCTGGACAAATAGAAAACTGTTTTAAGGAAAGTTAGACTATTCAGTAGTCTCTGAAAACATACTCAGTATCTGTTTTAGTATACCTAATACTGTTCACTTTGAGATGGGACTAGGTCAACACCTAGGTCACATCTGATGTCTTTTGTGGGGGGAGGGCTGTAAAAAAACCACTTTAAAAGCTTAGATACTTTCTTAATTTATTTAAGTACATGCAGAATATTTGCTTTTAAGTTTGGCTTTTCTTGTGAACTAAATAGCTTTTATGTTTCTAAATGGCTTAAAAGAAACCAGTTGGAATGATAAGCAGTGTGTTTCCTTTGCTGATCTTGGAGTATCTGTTACATAACCTTCTTGAGTTAACTTCTAACATGCATATATTCAATGCACATAAAGGTTTTGTTGTTTGGTTCTGCCACCTTGCCCCTTTTCATTTTGTATTTTGGCTGTTTCTGAGTGAACAATTTTGAATCTCGGCAGGTTGGCAATAGGGTGCCTGGAAATTTCAAGCATGCAGCTCCTACACTGTCAGTCAGTGAACTCTCAGACATGCCCAGAAGAACACCAAAGAAACCACTGATGACAGCTGAAGTAAATAAATTAAAACTTAGATTGCTCTTGCTTACTCTCTGTGAACAAAATTCCTGTGTGTATGTGCTTACTTCTTAGTACAGAGGGGGTGGAGGATGTCATTGCCCAGGTGACACCAGTCAAAAGAAACTAGTGTTGTCACATGACATAATAGAGAATATAAACTTATTTTTATCTTCCCCTTTCAGATTTGTGTGTGTGTGTGAAAATTTGATTTTTTCCTTTTCCTAAGATAAATATGTTTTGATATGTTATTTCTCCTTGGGCTGCTATTTTTCTGAATAAAATGTAGGTGTTTTTTTTTCTTTTAGATTCTTTGAATAGCTCAAAGTAGAGTAGACTTGGGTTATCTCACTTTGAGCTTGTAAATCAACCTATCATGAAAAAACACAATGTGCTTTAATTTAGGGAGTCAAGATGTAGAATGACTTTACACCAAATTACTGAATTCAAAAAGCATCTGTAGATTCCTTTCAGTTATCAAGAAAGAAAATAATTCTTTAACTGTTAACCTATTCAAGCTGCCAAAAATTATATCTCTTGGAGAACTGTCTAAAGCACCTGCAAGTATATATAATTTTATTAATATAATACTGTAATGTTGTGGAATTTTACATTGCAAGATGCTGTTTGTCTGTTCATGTAGCTGTAGATAAAGCTGCTATTAACATTTCATTTACAATATGACTGCCATGTAGACTTAGTTGTCAAATAGAAGGTTGGGTAAACGTGATGTTCTATTCCAAGCTGCTGATGGGGGTTTTTCAGTCAGTATTTTCATGTAATGTGGCATGGTTTTTTACAGCAAGAAGAGACAGATTGCCCACATCAGTGCTTTTTAAATCATATTGGTCACAACCAGTCCTGTGATATGCTCAACACAGCCATGATAGAGGTGATGGTTAAGTTTTTTTGATCATCTACATCATTGGCTGGCAGGTGTATAGGATTTATACAACTTATTCTTTATCCTAAAGGAAACTGAGGAGATCACTGAATGCTTTAAGACACCAAAAGTGACCGGATGGCTGCCAATAATTAAGGTTAAACAAACTTCTAAAACCCAAGAAGTAAACTTCTTGAATGTCACTGGGGGACTCATTCATTCTTACAAATTGCACATGGTTGTGGTCACTGAGATAGCTATACAGAGGCTTTTTGTTTTGCTGTCTGTTCGGCCTCTAACTCTTTTTTGTTTCCTAGGTGCTTGAGAGGACTACAGAAGAAAGAAGAATAGAAAGGGATATTCTTAAAGAAATGTTCCCTTATGAAGTATCAACACCTACAGGAATTAGGTATTTCTAAAGTTTATGGGGCTTCTTTTGTCAGTTCTTGTAAACCTATTTAAGCTGAGAAATATCTTTTGATTATATTGATAGAGTTCTGAGAAACAATTTTTGCACTCTGGCTCAATGACATTTGTGACAGCCACTTATTCTTCCATTCTATATATATAAATTTGTTACCAAAGCAGCCCCATCTTTATTTAAATTGGAAAAGGGAGAACAGGGTGGTACTATAGTAGGAATTATTACCAGAATTTCTGGATGGTGAAAGTTAAATGAAAAGAGCTTTTTTGTGGTAATGACTTGCAATATTTAAGTTTTTGGCTAGATGCAACTGCTTAGGCCTGTTTTTAAATTAGGGAAAGATCTTGTGGCATATATTTGAGTTGTCTTTTGCAAAGCCAGAAAGAACTTTCAGATACCTTATTTTTTCCTTTAAATGGCAATCGTGTTGATTAATCTTACCACGAATGAGGATGGCATCTAGGAAAGGCTATTACTTGTGGGTTTGGGGTTTGTTTTGTGGTTTTTTTGGGTTTTTTGTTTGGTTTTTTTTTGTTTGTTTTTGGGGAATTTTTTTGTGTCTTTAGATTTAAACAAAGATTGAAGCAACCCTCTGGTTAATTGGCCAGTTAAAAAAAACCACTTTGCTTAGAGCATATGAGAAAAAGTTTCCCCACGTTAAGATGCGAAATCATCTCTTGTGTTTCCAACATGTTAATTATAGCTTCAATTCAAACTGCAATTGCATAAAGTCTTAACCATAAGGAGAATATATAGTACTAGTTACTACTGCTGTGGGGCATCTGCTGACCACTCAAATTTGCTCTTCTGTTTTGAGGTCCAGTTAAATCCATAGCACTTTTTAAAAAAAAAAAAAAAAAAGTAAAAATTATACATGTATACTTCTTGTATATTAGAATTTGGCAGTGTACATGATTTTTTTTAATCCTTACTGCTCTGTCTTCTGGCTCGGTTTTGGCTTAGCCATCAGTAGATATTTTATTGGCCGGAAATAATCTTTTGTTTAGAAATCCCAGTGGGGCTGCAAAAATAATCATTAAGAAAGCAAATAGAAGGAGACACTTTCTACAGTTTGATTGCAAGTTATGATCCTTTTTGTGTGGATAGGACGAAGTGGCATTTGAGTTGTTTTTTTTAAAGACTGTTTGATTGAACACTGAATTACTAACTTTATTGTGTCTATCATTATCGGTCAAGCTTCAAAAATCATATTACAGGTACTGTATTCACCAGAAATAATTCTTAGTTCTTTAATTATACTAAAACTTCCCGATGTACTTTAGATTGCTCTTTTAAATATGCAGTATTTCAATTTTTTTTTCTTTTTAATTCACAGTGCTAGCTGCCGTAGGCCAATCAAAGGAGCTGCAAGCCGGCCTCTGGAGCACAGTGACTTCATACTGGAGGAAAGTTACTCTAAGTATGCACAAAAATATGGTACCTCGGCTGACACCAAGTCGGAGAAACCAGCAGTAAAAAAACAGCGCCCCGTCCCCCTGTGGATAAAAGTTTTTCTCTTTGTTGTTGTTTCAGTCTTCATGTTTTTGGTTTATCAGTCAATGGAAACTAATCAAGGAAATCCTTTTTCTAAATACATGAATATTGTCACTCAGGGCAGTGCCAAATGAATATCTTTCTGAAAGGCACACCCAATTTGATCTCCTGTTTTTTAATTGTAGAGAACTCTTCTGCCCTCTCATCGGCTCAAGGACTTCTTATAAATAATGTGATTGGAACCTGATAAATTGGATAAATGAAGAAAGATAATATTAAATGGACATCGGTAACTTTCTGGACATTGGACAAGTAGGAGATCACTGCCATAGGAGTAACATTTTTTTAAATCTTTGAACTTTTTTAGGCTTTATTTTTTTAATGTGGACATCCTTTAAATTCACTTTTGAGAAAATGTATATTTGTTTTTGCAAGAACTTGGAAGCTGAGAAGGGCAAAAATGTAGTAAAATGTGAAGCTGTGTCTTTAAAGCTTTTCATTTGTACAGAAAAGAAGTTGTACTTCTGCCTCTAGATTATAGTGGAGAAGGATTTTAATATGGGATAAAAGGAAATGCATTTCATTATGCATTTTTGCAGTAACAACATAACTGAATTTGATCTCTTAGGATGTAGAGAGAGTACAACAGCAACCTTTTCTGTAGATTACTGTAACTTTTTAGTAAATGTAACTGTAAACCTGTTTGCATTTCTGTAAAAGTCTTAGTATCATATTAGTAACTGTTTAAGTGTAACTTCATTTAAATGTATCCCTTCATTTTAGTGCTTACAGTGTTGTAGGAGTTGAATACAAATCTAATTGGCAAGAGATGTATTAGAGGAACTTATTTATTAGTAATATGTGTGGGAAACAAAAACTACATCATAACAATTTGTTACTAAAATACTTTTTTGGGTCAAGATTGTTATCTGAAGCAGTCTAAATTCCAACCTTAGCAGTGGTCTTTTTTCTTTCTTAAAAAAGCGAGGTCTTTCCAACACAGCTTTATGTGATTATCTTTAAATATTTGTGTAGAGAAGTATTCTCAAAGTATGAAAATTCCATATGAAGTTTTATTCTTGTATGAAGAGGGCATTGCTGCATTTTCCGCTACAGTTTCATCTTTTAAGGTGAGATTTACTACTTTCATGCCATTGACTATTTTTCTCAGTGGAAGCATGCTGAAACACTCTCTATTGTGTAACTTGGTTGAGCAGGCAGCTGACTTCATTACTACCAATGAAGAGTGATAAGCAAAAATTTTTTTAAAGTGAATGTATACATTTTTGGTGTGCTTAAATCTGCAGCATACAGATGTTCAGTCTTATTGCTTGGTACAAAATTGCAATAAATCATACTACTTATTCTTAAAGTGCTACTTATAAAAAGCTGAGAACATTAGTTAATAGTCAATATCTTTTTACTCTAGGTACAATTATTGTGTAGACTATAGCTATGGGGAAGCTTTACTTTGTGAACTTTGGGACAAACATGGTAATTTGTAGCAAAGCAATAGTTTTGGGGTTTTTTTCCTGTTTAATGTTTTTTTTCCTTCTAAACTGCTTTTTTGAGTAATCCAAATTGCTAAACCTGTGTCCATCCTATAGAGAATTGTAACATAAGACATTCACTTTTGGTGTCAAAAATGGAGAAAAATAAAAATGATTTTAATGTGTGTGGATTTTCCTTATCAAAATAAATGCATTGCTGAAAGGCAGCAAAAGCAATATTCATAATATTTGCAGTATCAGAGTTTTGTGCCATAATCCTTTAGCCTATGTCAGGCCTTTAGTCTGGGGGAGAGGGGGAGAAAGTAGCTTTCATTTGTTTTTCAATGCTAAAGGAACTTCCTTTTCACTTTAAATTATTTCTCACACCACGTTTCTGCATGTTTGCATGTAAAATACATCTTTCTTCCCTAGTTACAAGAAATACTTTCAGTTTGCCTCAGCCAGGGGTACTATTAATATCATCAAAGAAAAAAACCAACAAACTACAATCAAAGCAAACTACAGACTGAATTTTGTTGCAATTAACTGTCATCATTCTTTCATTTTTGCACTGTTTTGGAGAATGCTTTCAACTTCAGTGTTGCCTCACAGATGGTAAAGAGTTTCTAGAAAAGTCCTCAAAGTAACCCACCTCTAGTTCAGTTGTAGTTAGAAGGCAATGCATCTTTGATAAAGGAATGGGCTTCTTTATATTTCAGACACTTAATGGTGTGTGGTAGCCCCAAGACTAGGATCTTTGTCCTGGTCCCAAAGTTGAATGTTTCATGGTATTCTAAGAGTAACACATATATGTTATAACATATATATTATATGTTATGTAATGCTATGAGCTGTATGTGCTTAAAGCCTTCTAACTAAATGCTGTATAAATTAAGCTGAAGTATATAATTCTACTGTAGTCTTTGTATCAAAGTGCTGAAGCAGTACACACTGATGTTCCTTTTTTTCTTCCTTTTACACATTCTCACTTTTGTTCCATTAGTTCATCTTGGTTTTTTTTAGACAAAGCCAGCTTGAACTTTCAGAACCAATGAAAAAAGAGTAATTTTAGGGACTAGTATCCAAGATCCAGTTGCAAAAATGAGTAGAGTTCTAATGTAGTAAGTATTGTTTAAGAAATCCCCTTCAGGGCAGGGGCTACAACAAGCCTGGAAAAGGCCTGTGGAAGTTAATGGGTGTGACAATGTTATTTTGGGTTTGGTGGCTTTTGTTCTCATGATTGGTCATACTGCTCAGAATGTTGTGCTGAAAACCTGGCAGGTCTTGATTTCCTGTCTAAATTGCAAGTAACACACAGCTTGTATTTTTCCCTTTAAATTCTGTGCTAATCTTTAAACATTTATCCAGTCTCGGGAGCCTGGTATCAGGTTGTGGATCACTAGATTATTTCACTTGAGATTAATTTTACAGCATCTGATCTGTGGTGAGAGCATCAGAGCTTCAGTAGCCTAAGACAATAAATTTTCAAGAAGGATCTTAAATTTAAATTCTCTGTGTGTTTTAAGACCTTGATTTGTATTTCCATAAGAAACAGCATGAAAGAACTTCGAGTTGACTTGCTAAGAGAATACTCAGCACTGCCCTACAGAATGATTTTGGATCCCTCCTAGGCTTGGTCTATGTGGGGTTTTTTTTTTGTTTCTGGTGGCATCATTTACAAAACTTTATGGTACTAAAATTCCTGCTAATTACCTTCTCTACTAGTTTTGTGGACAAGATGTCTTTAAAAAATATGTTAACTTGTTTATGCAGAGTCAAAGCAGAAAAGCTGACTATTAATCTTTAAATAATACAGGTCTCAAAGAAAACTCAGCAGTAAAATTTATGTAATTGCACATGAAGCTGGTAAAATTGTGTGGCATATCTTGTGCATGGTACATTTGGCTTACTTTGATATGGCTTAAGTAACATATTGGGTCAAATAGATACAGGGGTGTGTCGTGATGTATAATTTTAATTTCTTTGTTTGCAAAGGTAGCTGTTTCAGCATATCCTTTGTCTGTTAATATGGCTTTTATTGTGTGTTTGATAAGTCTACCTCTCTTTGTCTGAAGCTGTCCTTAGACTTGCTTTTCCTTTTCCTGAGGGAATTTACCAGTCTGCTTTGCACCAGTGCAACAGCAAGTCTGTTTGCATTGGTAGTCTGTGGTTAAAACATAGTAACTGCACTGTCTTATTTGTTCTTTAGAAAAAAAAAATTGTGATGCTTAATAGATATAAACCATGTACTGTGTGAGGAGAATTAAAAAAAAAATTAAATATTATTAGACAAGTATATACATGGTAGCAATTAGGTGACTACTGTTGTCCAACCTTGGAAGCCTGGTTCCTGGTGAAGGAAATGCTGCAACTTAAGGTTTCCCTTGGGCTGTAAAACCTGATCCATTACTGACTTTAGAACCATGGTCTAGTAGTTCTTGTGTTGAAATAAGGAAAGTATATAAAATAAAAGTTTACAACCCAAGCACATGCTGCTCTGCTAACCTGATTATCAAAGGTGTGGATGGTTGTTTCAGTATCTCGTATATTTTTGAAAACAAGGTCACCTGGGAAGCAAGCTCATAAGAGCTTTGCTTTTGCTTGCAGGCTTTACCAAAATGTTAGAATTGTGAAAAGTTACTGTAAGACAGGAACTAGCCTGCATTTCCTTGATTGTGTGCAGTTTGAGGTGAAATTAGGGTGGGAAACGGAGAGGATATGTGGTGGGTGTTACAACAGAATGATAGATGAAATTAAGAACACTCCAGAGCTGCAAACTGAAATTTTCCTAACCTCATAAAACTTATAGAGCTACTGATTAAAAAAGATGGATTTAATTTACTGTGAATTGGACAGAGGGTGACACTAGAATGTAGCATCTTTCAAGCCTTCACCTATTACTACCTTCAATGTCTCAGAAATTAATTAAATTAATCTAGATGGTTTGAATTACAGGCTATTGCTGTTTCATTCCTTCACATCTGGGAAAAGTAGTAGGTATTTTCTTTGTAAAATTATATGTATTCAGTAAGAACATATATTATCCCTGTATTTTCATGGGGCTATGTTAGACTGCTGTTTAGTAAGTCTTGTTAATAGTACAGCTGTTAGAAGTTAATTGTCATTTAAAAACCAAACTCACATAAGCATTTGTGTAGTTGTGCACATAAATTGCCATTAGATGTTGTCTATAAGTGGTCATCTGCTCATGCTTTATAATTGGAAGGAACAGAGGTTTTCTATAGGTTAAAAATTGGAAGAGTCTGCAAGAATTGTAATCATTTATCTGCAGTTTGACGATAAGAGCCCAAATCTCAATTGTCTAGAGGTTACCTATTGAAATTGAAAATAAGTGTCAGTGTTTGGCTTTAAAATAAAATCTTGTTACAAATAATTGTTTAGAGGCGAGTAGAGCAGAGCAAGTAATAGCAAAATGAACTATTCTGGCTTGTTTTCACTGCTGCCACTGGCAATGAATTCAACAGCTCTTTGGGCTCTCAGCTGGTTACTAAAGAAAAGTATTTGAAGAGTGTAAGTTTCATTTGACCTTTTCCTGCTTGAGCATCTGAAGTGTAGTTTATTCTAGAGGCACTTAACCAGCCTTGATATTTGTGATAATGCTATTGGGCACTTTTGTCCGTTTTAGACAGTCCCCCTGGATTCACGACTTTGTTGTGAAATAGAGAGAGTAGAGCCAGAGCCTAAGGGCTTTCCTTGGAAGTTTCATAGGAGCTGAGTAGAGTTGGGATGTTTCTTCAGTGTGGTGTTGCTGGTATGCTGTCATTTGCCCAGAAGTAGTATCTGGGATGTTCAGCACACATCTCTTGCCTTCCTGGCTTCTGTGTGTATGCTGTTGCAGAGCACTACAATTGAAAGAATATGATCAAAACAATGAAAAAGTGGAGTTACTGCATCTTCAGTTACTGGACAGCTGAACTTGTCTGTGCTAGTCTTGTGCTACATAAACCACTAAAACAAGAGAAATCACCCTGTGTTGGAAAAGGCATAGCTAAAGGTAGCTCAGGCCATGCATGGGTCCTATGTTAGATAACATTCTGCTTTTAACAAACCAGTAAGAAGCAATTCTGTGAGCAGCTGCAGGCGTTGTAGCATGTAGTACAGGCTGTGCCATGATGCCCTGGAAGCTTACCCTCCAAAGGTGGAACTCGGGCAGGGAGTCTGCAGGCAGTGCTTGGTGCTAGAGCTGACCCTGCTTGGGTTGACAGAATTCCGGAGTCTGTTGAGAGGGTGAGATACAACTCCCTCAGCTTTCTGCTGAGGGCCTTGCACCCCGTGTGTTTAGCAGACAGTGATTAGAAAGCATTACTAGATGTGATTACTAGACGTGTAACCTGGGGTGATACCGAGGACTTCTTTAAGCTAATCTCAAAAAATGGGTGCCTTGCTAGGGGCTGGACTTGATCTTCAACATCTCTTCCAACCCTGATGCTTTCATGATTCGGTGTGAGCGCTGCAAAGCACGGGTCCAGGGCAGCACAGGGAACTCACGTTCGGGTCTGTCTCGGGTTTGACATTGCCCGGGGCAAGGCCGCGGGAGGCACGTGGCTCAGTTGGCAAGCTCCCCGAGCCGGGCAGCGATAGGGAAGGAACGGGAGCTGAGGCGCGGGGTTTATCGCTGCAGGGCGCGCTCACACAGCCCGAGCAGGGGCCACA